CACCTGGACCGACTAGTGAACACCTGAACCGACTAGTGAACACCTGGCCCGACTGCTGAACACCTGGACGACTAGTGAACACCTGAACCGACTAGTGAACACCTGGACGGACTAGTGAACACCTGGACGACTAGTGAACACCTGGACCGACTAGTGAACACCTGGACCGACAAGTGAACACCTGGACCGACTAGTGAACACCTGGACCGACTAGTGAACACCTGGACCGACTAGTGAACACCTGGACCGACTAGTGAACACCTGGACGACTAGTGAACACCTGGACCGACTAGTGAACACCTGGACGACTAGTGAACACCTGGACGACTAGTGAACACCTGGGTATATGATAAACTGGGGTGCACATGTACAGTCTGTTTAATTAAATTCAGTTTATTCCTAAAGCTCCAAGTCACAACAGAAGTCGTCTCAGGGACTGAACAGAAACATTCATCTATAAAATAATAATTGAACAGAAACATTCATCTATAAAATAATAATTAACAGAAACATTCATCTATAAAATAATAATTGAACAGAAACATTCATGTATAAAATAATAATTAACATTATTTATCTGAGGAGCAGCTTTGAGTTTAACTCCATCACTGAACTCTCATCTTGAACAAGCATGAAGGCGACAGTGGAAAGAAAAAACTCCCTCATGAGGAAGAAACCTTTAGCAGAACCAGGATCAGGACTAGAGGACCATCTGCTTCGACCAGCTGGGTTTGGTAGGAATAGATACACAATGGCAGGTCAAGAATCACATGTTAAGATAGAAATAGTATCAAATGAAAAATATTCAATTTTAACAATTCATTTAAGGACATGAGGTCAGTTTGTCCTCTAGTAGTCTAAGTCTATAGCAGCATAACAAGCCGACCCTAACTATAGGATTTATCAAAAAGGAAAGTCTTAATCCCAGTCTTAAACTGGACAATGTGTCAGTCTCACGGGCAGAAACTGGAAGTTGGTTCCACAAGAGAGGAGCCTGAGAACTGGAAGATCTTCCTCCCATTCTGCTGCTGGAAACTCTAGGAACCACAAGTAAACCTGCAGTCTGAGAGTGAAGTGCTCTGTTAGGAAAATATGGAACAATAAGATCTGTAATATAAGATGAGGCAGCACGGTGGCGCAGTTGGTAGAGCAGCTGCCTCTCAGCCAGCAGGTCCCTGGTTCAAATCCTGGTCCGGGGGCTTTTTTGGGTGGAGTTTGCATGTTCTCTCCGAGCATGTGTGGGTTTTCTCCGGGTGCTCCGGTTTCAAGGTTCTTTATTGTCATTTATATCACATGTGGTACAAGAGGTGGAACGAAATTGTGTACTCAAGGTCCCAGTTACATTCAACTAAAGTATAAATTGTAAAAGAAACGGTAAATATGGATCTAAGATATAAACTAAGAAATACGCTAAACACTAGTAGTACAAAAGCAATACGCCGAACAACAGCAGCACAAACATGAGTCTGAGTGAGTAGATGAGTACGAAAGAATACAGCAGCATGAAATAATCAGCAGCATGAGATCAGCAGCATGGATAATCAGCAGCACATCTCAACAATCAAAGTGTCATTACATTGATTTATTTTCACAGTGATTATCCCGACTAGGGATCCACGAGTCCAACAGCCCCAAGACAGACGCTGCTCCTCAGTCCACCGGACCCGCACCTAACGCTCCGCAATCTTCTGCCCGAGGGGAGCGGGGAAAAAATTGTGTGCGCTGGGTGAGCGGGGCCCCCCACGACCCCCCCAAGCAACTAGCAGAAGCAACAAGCAGCATTGATCCCTTCTCAGTCGTCCGTCTCTCTCTGTCTGATGCAATCTTTAGCAGCGTCCACAGTGGAAGGGGCGGGACCATCAACCTTACTGGCTGATGTCAGATCAGAATATGTGAAGCCATTGGTTGTTCAGTCCATCAATCAAACACATATAAGGGTGCATTACAGTTTTGAATGGGGTTTAACACTATTTACATATGTTTTTCAATGTATTTATCAACATATCTTTAACTCTCAATTTACTACCCTTTAATCTCATCGCAGAATAAGATGTGATTATATTTATTCATTCTTGCTGTGTTTTTAACACTGGGCTACATTTGGACCTGCGGTCTTTGACCTGCGATGTTGGACCTGCAATGTTGGACCTGCGGTCTTTGACCTGCGATGTTGGACCTGCGATGTTGGACCTGCGATGTTGGACCCGCGGTCTTTGACCTGCGATGTTGGACCCGCGGTCTTTGACCCGCGGTCTTTGACCCGCGGTGACAGGGTGCAGGAGAACCCTCATGCCCTGAAGTGACACATGCAGTTGGAGATGTCATGGATTCCTGGGGTGTGTGGAAGATGATGTGCCTGTGTGTGCCGTCTGTTGAGGACGTAGAAGACGCATACATTTGGATGTATGATAAAAGGATTTTTGCTTTTTAGAATCGGTGGATACCTGGGATATAGCCTAATTAGGAAGATGTCAGCAGCAGTGTCGGCCATGTGCAGCTGCCTGCCTTACTCCGTGCTTCGAGCTCTTGGACCAATATGCTTTGTGAGCTGAACCGTAAGCTGGACACGATTTCTGAGAATCGTGGGCCACTTGCAGCTCCTAGGACTCGCTGGCATGAAGGAATCGATCTTGGAGAAAGCCAACAAGCACGGATCGGCAGAATGTCCACAAATCTGGCTGTTTGGATTCACTACTGAGTACCAGCAGAACTGAAGGCAGACAGAAATCAGTAGAGTCTGCCTGCCCAAAACAATTGTTAATCTGCATCTGGCCTCTCCGTTGGCCTTGTGCAGGTCAACTTCTCTCAGATTGCTGCTGTTAGATACATAAATCAAGAAGATCTGCTCACCCCCCCACCAAAAAAAACAAAAAAACATCTGTGGACCCTTATCAGAGTGGACCAGCTGAGAGACACCAACATTTTTTATACGTCACAATCACTTTGGACTTGTGGAAACTAATGCGAAAGTCTGCAGAGAAGGGTTCTGGACGGGTTCTGGACCCCTTTGACGACTCGACTGTTGGAAAACAACACTGGCGTGGAGAGACGGAGACCTACCAAATGTTTCCAGATACTTTGGTTCCCTGGGCTCTGTTGACATGAAGTTTAAAATGTTCTTCAGCAGCAGAAACGTGACGCTACCTGACACCGATGGTGAACATGTCCAGGATCCTCTTCCCCTGCAGCCAGCCCACCAGCATGATGACCCCTGAAACACACGGACCAGACTGAGCCACACCTGTACACTGAAGACCTGGACCCTGCAGAAACCACACCCACCTATGATGCAGAACGAGTACAGAGACAGCTGCTTCCCCAGCAGGTCCATGCTCTTCTGCAGAGGAGTTTTAGGAGCCTGAAACAGGAAACAGGAAGCAGCTTCTGTGGTTACCGTGACGACGACATCAAATATCTGATGTAACCGGCTGAACCGGATCGGAGACGTGGATTAAGAGCAGGTTTTATCTTAAAGGTTTGACACCTTTGGACATACTGACTGTGTAAACGGACAGATTTGGTCTGGATTAAGGATTAAAGGGTAGACTAAGGTGTTTTTTCTTGTTTAAAGCTGGTTTAAGTGCCAGGACCAGTTTGCTCCTTGCTGAACGGACTGTGACTGAACCTTTACCGAGTAAGAGATGAAATATTTTGACTCGTTTCAGGGTCCGTGTTCACAGCAGCTCAACAGATTTACAAAAGTACAACAGTTTTCCATTTTCCAGGTCGGACTTTGAAGAACTCACCTCCTCAGCTTGCATCATCTTGAAAATTTCTCCAAACTCAGAGTCCTCTCCAGTTCCAATGACGATGCCCTGAGGAACAAACCAACCGGGTTTCAGAACTTCACATCTTCAGACTCTACGGTACCCAAATGACCTACAGCCCTAAACGGGTCTCAGAGGTACAGGTCCTGCTGGTACCTTGGCCTTCCCGTAGCGGACCAGTGTCCCCATGAAGGCGATGTTGTTGCGGGATGCAATGTCTCCATTGGTGGCTGCTGGCTGGTGGGACGTGGATTTGGAACTGGGGGTGGTCTCCCCCGTCAAACTGGACTCGTCCACAGAGAGGTCGCTGGCCTGGGGGAGGACAGAACCAACAGGTAACCCAGAAGTTCAGTTAACTCAAGCCCACTCTGATGAACAACAGTTCTCAGCTGGCCCAGGTTCAGTTCTGCAGTTTGAGCTTTTTGTTTCATCAGGATCTTCAAGGTGCAACACCTGAGTCGACACACCTCCACGCTCGTTAACCAGCGATCAATTTAAAAACTTCCTGTAAAAAAGGAGAATAATAAAACAACAGCCGTACCTCGAAGAGACGGAGGTCTGCAGGGACCCGCTCCCCCACCGACAGGCAGACAGTGTCTCCAGGAACCAGCTCCCGGGCCAGCAGGAGCTCCAGGTGTCCGTCTCTGATGCTGGGAGGACAGGTGGGTTTACCTTCACTTCCATTCACTTTATTAGGACAAAGACAAACTGGGGAAGACTTCTAAATCCTGTACAACGACCTGAACTGGACTGAAAAGGACTCCACAGATCGTTGAGCACAACTGAGAACCCCTGAGAGGAACCAGAGAACCCCTGAGAGGAACCAGAGAA